TTACTCATTTCAATTTCGCTGAGATTTTACAAATATAATTTTATAAATTGTTTATCTCTCTCTAAAAGTTACTTCTGTTAACTTTCAGGTAACTAGGAAAGTTAATAATAAAGAAAACTGGTTTTTCTGCTACATAACTGGGGAACCCTAAACAATAGGAACCAAAAACGAAACGACCTACGGACTCACAAATGACCTTGAGTAACCGATCAGGTGACTGCTTTTCCAGCAGTAGGTTTTAGGGGGCAGAAATTAAACGTCACGTACAAGGTCATTTATGGAGAGAGACGCTCAAAGGTTATTTTCGTCCATGTTTGTCGGCCATGTTGGATTGCACTTCCGTAGCTGTTCGTTTACACATTGATTTTTCCGTTTATCCAGCAGTTATTCACAACTTATCTTGATGCACATTGTTTCCAAATGTTGCGTTTTACTTCATTATTGTTTCCGTTTCTGTTAAAACTAGTTATTTCGTTTGTTTCGAAAGTTTTTACCACCAGGTCAGTGCATTCGTTTCATTGTAATTGTTTCATACGTTGCATTAATGCATCATTTCAGGGTTTTAGTTGTTTTTCAGCTATTAATGAATTAGTACTATGTAGAAGTTTTGCAGATTATGCAAGTGAACATGTTTGGGAGACAGAAGCCATTGTTTCCAGTTCATTTTTGGTTGCCGTTATTGTTGCTGGCTCAATTGGTTACTCAATATGTAGGAATCTGGAAAAAATGTCTTTCACGTTCATGTTTACAACATGCAACAATCTACGAGTGAATCTAGTGAAGAGGGCACGATCAGGGTTGATATTAGCAGAGTTTTCGAAGAACTAATTAAACCCAGAGAATTTAGAACCTGGTTTGAAGTTTAAAGAGCTTTGAAGCTTTTCGACAAGGCGTCTGTTGTCAGCTAAAAAATCAGATATATTGTGAGAGAATCAAAATCAAGCAAGGATGAGCCACATGTGGAGAATGAATGTGTGGTGTTTGTATGTACTTTTGGAAGCAAAATTAGGAAGCAATAGGAAATCCCTACATGATTGTTAATGCTTAGTGTACTAGATGCAAACGCACGAACTTGGACTGCCTGTGGTAAACGCGCTGTTAACAACCATTTTATTTGTTTCAAAACGATTTGAAAAGCGGATAACATACGATGATCTGGTGAGTGTTCGGTAAGAATTTAACTAGCAAGAGTAACGTTTCGGATTTTGGTCTACAATCGGTGGTTTTTTCGAAGTTACAACAAGCTGAGAAGCTGATTACTATTCGGGGTGAAAAAATTGGCTGGTTACAAATTGCTTGTTTCAGTTCAAATAATGAAATTCCTATTTTTCGGATGCTTGTGATTTCTCCGTTGCTATAAACACGGTTGCGCATGATTTATAAGAAAACTTTAAATAAATTTTCCTTGAACCAGTGGTCTTCTTTTTCTTGGCGAAGCATCTATTGAGACGATTAGGCAGCAAAGTAGAATGTTCTGTGATTGAGAATCGTAGTCGTTGTGTATCGGATTTAGATCGCGCATCTAACTGCTATAACCCTATGAATAAAGCTTTTTCCTCATGGTGCATTATGATATCTAGAAACCATAAGCACACAGCATTCGGTAAATTTATTTTCACTTTTTAAGTGACAGCAAGTAGTGAGTCATTTGAGGCGATAGGATAAATACCTCTAAACGCTTTCGTGAAGAGATTAGGATATGTTTATTTTTTCGACTAGGAGACGATCTTTTTACCCAAAACGCTCCCAGGATGTCCGCTTTTACTTTGTAATTCAAAGATAACGTTGCATTGCTCACTTAGGCAGTAGCAACAGGAGATTACCTTCAGGGGGAACTACTTTAATGTAGCTTTAGATAGTGCGCAATAGAAGTAAGCAGTGTATGTCTATTGTGTCTAAATATATTAAACGTTGTGAAGCTGGTCAGATCGTAGTTCTCACATTTCGTATGCGTATGTACATTAAGTTCGTCAAACCAAAATACAATTGTTAGTGGACGACTATAATGGAGAAAATGTTGTGATGCAAGACTGCAGATGCATCTAAAGTACTTCTACTGTGTTTATAGGCGAATCATTTGAGATCGTTAAAGGCTTTAAGTGAAGGTTGAAGATTAAGTAAGAGTAACTTTTCCATAGCTTTTAGAAAAGGGTAGGTAATAGCAATAGGTCTAAATTTAAAACATGTTCCATTGGACGACTTAGGTACAGGTACAATTTTAAAGTCCTTCCAAACGGCTGGCACATTATTTCTGGAAAAAGATTCATTAAATATTGAGAGGATAACACAGGATATCTGTACATTTTTTAAGAATCAGGCTAGGCAAACAATCTAGAACTAGGCTACAAGAAGGGTTCAACGACTGGAGATATTTTAGGACGTCATTTATATTGAAACCAAGGAAGCAACTCTTATTAACACTTGTGACACCAGAAACCTTGGCATTTGTGGGAGAATGTATGAATGCCTTGTTTCACGTACACACATCAAATGAATAGGAAATACTGTTGTAATACCGGAGGTAATTAGATGCATAAAGGCGTGAGTTATTTAGTATTCATTAAGTAGATATGCAAACACCGCAGTTGTTGATCATAGAAATGATGGATATTAGATGACATCACATGATTCAACGGCACATTAGAAATAGGTGGAAATTGTTTCTTTGCTCACTGTCAAGTACACAGTCTATTTGATGATGTCACTGCATATTAACAGATTAGTGAAGTAGCTATCAAGCCTAAGTTATTACATTTACTTATACTTCATACTTGGCGTTTAACAGTGTACAGAGTTGCAACTGGCTAGATAAGGCGATTTTAGCGTATCGAACAGTACAGAATTATTATTCAACTTGCTAAATCCTACTTAGTTTTTACAATGTGCTACTGTATAGAAACAGAAACGAAATCTTACGAAGGGCTAAAGTAACAGTCTCATAATACTATAGTGAATCTCCATCCCTCTGACTAAGCTTAACATGCATTGATCCGAATTCACTTATTACAAAAGCACAGTATAGCGACGCACTGAAAAAGTCTAGAGGAAGTAGAATTGAAGAGTATATTAAACATTTCATTAATTTACAAAAGAAAATCCCGATGAAGAGTATTAACGTTAGTTTGACCGAATGATATTTCCGCTGATTTCATATTCGACAACCCCCGTATACCTGGAAAAATAAAGCACATGTAAGGACTAGCACAACATGAAGTTATGAAAGATAATTCTACATATTAGCACACACTATGAATACACTGATTCGGTTAATACTAAGTAATATCTCATGCAAATAAATGTATATGTAGTTTTCAGCTGGTTTTTATATTGGCACTATAAGCATCAATAGACCTCAAATGTTTTCCAGTATTAAAGGATTATACGCAAATATCAAGACAATCTTTGAAGCTTCCATACTGTTGAGGCGTCATACTCTCATTAACCTCAGTTGCAGATCAACTTCACACTGAATACGTTTACATTAAATGAAGTATTGCAAATGTGTAACTTAGAAATTGATCCATAATCTCAGTAATGTCTAATGAGCATAGTTTTATGAATCCTACAGAAACTATTTTCTCACATTAAGGAATCTGTAGCCATCAAATATAAGGTGAACGTGCTTTAACTCTACACAGCTATGCACAGTGTTAGCAGCATAGAGAAACACTTAAAATATTGTAATATACGCAGACTTGTTGCGTTGATGAGGATAACAATGACATATAATGCAACCTAGACATTCAGTCGTGATGCGTCATCTGTACTGCTTCATGTCAACGGAAAATTCAGGAAAAATTCATCACCACTACTGGTGATCAAAAACCTTGCAGAATTAAGTGTACAGTGCCAGTGAGAATGGCATAACAGACAGTAGATTGATAGTAATCGAACTGACTAGATTCAGTTCTCATAATCGACACAATCCATGTGTATAATAATACTATACAATGAATTAATTCACTAAGCGAGACAGTAAGGAAATTTAAACGAGTGATTGCCTTCTCCTCTGCACTGCAATTGCAATAATCATGACAACCACCTACGTTTGCTAGCCAAGCAGTCATCTAAGCAGACAATGGCACAATAATAATAAAGTTGAGATTTTTTTATACATTGAGTCCACATAACTCATATAACGCTACACCAAACAGTGCAAATACACATGAAATCCACTTAGAAATAACCTCTCAACTTACGATAATTTCTGTCCGAACACACATACGGTGAGACAAATCCACAGAAGGCTCTGTTAGCATACACAGGTGATTTCGAAGTACTGATAGAATTCTTTTGTCAAAAAGGACTGTTCTTCACACGAAAATAGGCTGAATTAATATCCTGAGACGTGAAGTCTCCATTGAATGATACCATGCCGAAAGATGCAGCAGCTAAATAAAGCGGACTATTTGTGTAGGTGAAATTACCCTTCAACTATCCTATCTTTCTCATTATAGCGATATTTTGCTACAGTTCGCCTGAAACACTGATCGTCGCAACCAATATACTAGGGGGTATCGCAGTCAGATTACATGACGCAGACACCAAAATAACAGGCCAGAAAATGGGAATTCTGATCAATCCAGATAACATATAACACAATTTCATTAAAAATTATTGACAAAAAATTTCCAAGTGAAATTTTAACAGCTGTTCTAGAACGTGACATTTAACGTCTACCGTTTTAGGGATATATGACACCAGCCTCAAAAAAGGACATATTGAGGTGACCCCTAAGCGCAAGGCATGTGTATTATTGCCTATTGTCTAGTGCTTAGTGCTACCTGGGACGACTATTGTCGTTTTTTTGAGCCTTCTGATTGGTCCCTGACGAGGTCATTTGTGCGTTGGTAGGTCGCTTCGTTTTGGGTTCCTATTGTTTAGAGTTGCCCATAACTGACCATAAGATAATGGAATATGCCTTCTTTGCAATTTAAGACTCTTCACTAATAAATGTTGGGTATCTGAACAATGCCCACATTTTTTTGGGTCACTTGTCACTAGAGCGCAGTTTGAAATGGAGCAGGGTCAGACAAAACTTAACCTTCATCTGGTTCGCCGTCAGCAGTGTGCGTGTTTAATTCAAGAAATTGGGTCAAGGCTACAAACGTAGGTTTTCGGTTGGCTGGAATACATATGATTTCCTTCAGGACACAAGTGGTTATCAACACTGGAATATACTACATGCATTACTTTTACGAGGTTTTTTCTCCGGAAACCATCAAACCCATCTTAGTTGCTATAGCTGCTTTTTACTGTGCGTGTAAGACGGAAGATTTCCCTAGAAAGTTGTCTTTTTTGATCAAAGCCGCTTACGACATTCTAAGGAGACCTGCTCCTGATGAAGCATCAGATTCATTTAAACGTCTCGTACAAAATGTTCATGCTTTAGAGGCTACTATTCTTATGGTAATCGGATTCCATACGCTTGAGGTGAAGCAACCTCATGTCTTGCTAGTAAAAGCCATTCGTATGAACAAGTTTCCGAAAGAAATAGCCAACACCAGTTACTATATCTGTTCCAACATTTTACATCTCACCACCTTGGTACTGCGGCATTCTGCAGAAGCGATTGCTGCAGCTAGCCTATATATTGCAGCAAAGTGGAGTGGCACGGACATTCAGTCATCGAAAGGGGAGTGGTTTCATACATTCTCAGTTACCCTGACATTTGAGGAGGTCTCCAAAATAGCGGATGAGTTCACTCTGACTTTTCAGGAATGCGACATAAAAATTAGGGAACAGTTGCGTAATTCACTCCGAGTGAGTTGTTGTATTTTCAATATAGCGTTTAGTCCCAGAAACTGCAAAAAGAACGAAGGGACAAACCAATCAGCAATCCTCCTCGAGGTCTAGATTCTCAAAGAAGATTCCTGCCGGACTCTCAGCAGAGAAGCGATTCTTGGAAGGTAAGTTCCGAATAGTTGTTCTTGACTCTGGTTAGTTTTGGTTTGGGTGCCAATGCTAAATATTCAATTTAACAGTTATCTTGATTCCAGGGTATATGCAGAGTCTAATTCAAGGCTTTTCGGCACGTTTAAGTGATCTCTGCAATAAGCTTCATAATTCATATTTCTAAGACCACTTGTTTCTTATCATAGCTGTGTCTTGATGTCATCCGAAATGGTACTTGGTACCACAGCGTCACACATTTCCTTCGGTTCTCATTCGAATGGCTGTACGATATCCACAAGCTTTCATCTCTTCATGTGAACTCCATATTACACTTGGATGCCCAAGTCGTTACTCATTCAGGGTTGACTCAGGTTCTTGACGAGTGATATTTAAGATCTCAGTGTCTGTCTATCTGTTTTCGACATGGAACTTTGCGCATATGTGCTGCAGTTCAAGTCGTCACACTCCATGTAGCACACAAAGGTAGACAAGAAGATGAGTGAAGAGAATCAATAGAGTTTTGACAACTATAAGAGTGAAACAGAATGAGTAATGGTAGAAAGGAATATGAAAGATTACAGAGACTGAATACATCTGCGCCATTGACAACGATTTTGAGCCATGTCACCTATTGTCTCCAGCCACTGATTCTTAGAGTCCCGAGGGCCCCAACCCGGAAGTCTGTATCACCCCATCTGACTCAGTTTAACTGTCATGGATTGATTGATGCCATGTTTTTATTTGGCATGGCACCACTTACTCTTTTCCAACCTGCACCTATATCAGCTAGTAATGCCCGTCGGGGGAGGCGATGGTTAGGCATGCGCAGCACGTGACCTGGCCATCTCAGTCCATGTAACTTTATAGCCTCGTCGATTGATTTTCCCTCTTTGCCCAACACTCTACGCCTAACGTCAACATTACTTACCTTATTATACCACCTAACGTGAGAAAGAGATCATAGACATCTGTGACCAAAAGCAGTCAACCTTTTCATGTCTTCAACTCGTATTGTCCATGTTTCAGAGCCAGCCATAGAGAAAGACGGAGCGAACTGCTGAGCAGTACACACGTCCCTTGGTTGATAGCCGGATGTCACGCCTATGCCAGAGATGGCGTAAGTTAGCGAAAGCAGCCCGAGCTTTTTGGATCCGTGCTGACATTTCGTCACCAATCAATCCGTTGGTGCTGATACAACTTCCCAAATAGGTGAAGTGGTCAACATGTTCTATCACTTCACTCCCTATCACTAAGCTAGGAGTTGACGTAGTCCAGTCCTGTAGCAGCATCTTACATTTTACAGGGGCGAGCCGCATGCCAAACATACGAAGATTGCTGCTGAAGGTGTTCAGAAGACTCTGCATTTTGTCAGCATCCTCCCCTAACAGGACTAAGTCATCTGCATATTCTAAGTCCATAAGACTATTCCGTGGTAACAAGTCGATTCCTAAGTCGTTAAGTTCAGTTAAGGATACTTCCATTAGCATATCTATAATGAAGTTAAACAGAAATGGGAAAATTGGACATCCCTGACGGACACCACTGGTTTTTATTAATTCAGATGACAATTCCCCATAAGCCCTTACACCGCTACGTGAGTTTGAATAGATTGCCTTGATTAGTACAATGTACTTTCTTAGCACTCCCTTCACAGTCAAACATTGCCATAGTACCTTTCGACCCACGGAGTCCAAGGTCGCCTTCAAGTCAAGAAATATGGCAATTGTTGGACGCCTAAAAGTGTGTCTATGTTCTAGGATCTGTCGGAGAGTGAAGATATGATCTATGCACCCTCTACCTGGCCTAAAGCCCGCTTGATTTTCTCTCGTTTGTTCCTCCCGAGTTCGGCTTAGTCTGTTCATGATTACTTAGCCTAGGATTTTAGAGACTATGTTCGTAAGGCTGATTCCTCTATGATTATCACATGAGGACTTGTCTCCCTTCTTGAATATCGGTATAATAAGTGACTTACTTCAGTCTGATAGAATCGTCTCTGATTCCCAGACGTTACCTAGTACCTTAGTTAAACTATATACTAGTATGTCACCCCCATGTTTAAACACCTTCAGAATAATTCCGTCGGGTCCTGCCGCTTTGCCTCGTTTCAAATTACAGATAGCTTTTGTGACCTCACTTACAGACGGCGGACCAGTGTCTATATCCCATTCAGGTGTGTGCTGGATGGCGGGGAGGCTCAGTGTGGCTGTAGGCAAGTTAAATTGTTCCTCAAAGTGTTCTTTCCAGCGTTCAAGGCGTCTATCCTGAGAGCTAATTAAGGAACCATTTTTCTCAGAAATAGTCTCACTTATAATTTGCCTTCTCCCACCCGTTTCCCTGATGAGTCTAAAGAGTTGTCTAGTGTTGCCTATCGCCGATGCTTTTTCCATCTCTTTCGCCTTTGTCATCCACCACTGTTCACGGTCCTTGTGGAGACTTTTCGTAAGTTTCCTTTTGTGCAGCTTTCGCTCCTCATTGAATTCGGAGCTCGCCGGAATAAGTCTTCTGGCATCAATCAGTTCGGATGAGGCAGTCGAAATCCAATGGTTTTTACTCACCTTTGGGTTTACCTTATTCACAGCTTTTACAGCTGGATCTATGGCTGACTGAATATTCTTCCAGGCTTCTTCAGGGTGAGCACAGCTGTCGAATTCAGATATGTGTTTAGCTAGTTCTTCCTCAAGTAGGGACTTAGTTTCCTGATCGAGCTGGGGACGTGATGGGTTTACCACTAGCTGTTTCCTACGTCCGTTCAGTCGTAAGCACACACGAGCGCGGACCAGTGCGTGATCGGTATCTACACACGTGTTCCAGAAGAAGCGACAACCTCCTACCGACCCATGCCAACAATAGCTTATTGCTATGTGGTCTATTTGTGTCCAGCGTTGGTTTGATGATGGGGGTCGCCAGGTCAAACAGTCTGTCTGTTTTTGACATAGAACTTTGCGCATATGTGTGGCTGTTCAAGTCGCCACACTCCATGTAGTACACAAAGCAAGAGAAGAAATTAGGAGAAATGCATATTAGAGACAGTTAACAGAGTTGTGAGACAAAGAAATAGTAATAACGAAGAACAAAACAGATTTGATAGTGTGGAAAATTCCCATATTATGAATTAAAAGTCACTCTGAACGAAGAATATTCTTTTCAATAATTTCTCTTCAGGTTCTTACAATTATAAAATATAATATTTGTTGTCGTTACAATAAAGGCCAGTTATGCGGCAGATACATTTTTAACGTAGAATAACAGATTAGTTATGGGGTGTCAAAATAAATAGTCGTATTTGTGTGGCAAATTGCAGTCTTACTATCTCCTGTTTAACACAGACCACTTTGTACTAGCCACTCACCTGACACCTTTTATAACCTTGAACTGACTTGTCAATTTTCCTACCCCACACTCTACAAATCTATTATGATTAATCACCATTGTCTCCCGTTTTACAATTTTTTGTAATCGAATTCAGCCTAGCACGTTTGCCACACAAATAAGACTATTTATTTTGACACCCCATAACTAATCTGTTATTCTACGTTAAAAATGTATCTGCCGCATAACTGGCCTTTATTGTAACGACAACAAATATTATATTTTATAATTGTAAGAACCTGAAGAGAAATTATTGAAAAGAATATTCTTCGTTCAGATTGACAAAACAGATTCATTGGAAATCATAAGTCACAAGGAGTGGATGCATCTGCGCCACTGAGAACGATTTTGAGCCATGTCACCAATTGTTTCCAGCCTTCATTGGTTTTTACCATCCCAGGGACCCCAACCAGGAGGTCTTCACCTTCCTACGTGGCCTACACTAAGTTGTAGATTTCATTGACTGGCACCATGTTTTGGTTTGACCGCCGCTAGCTGTTTTCCAGCCTGACCCTATATCAGCTAACATTGCCCATTGTCGAGGAAGGTGATGACTAGGCATACTTAACACATGTTCTAACCATCTCAGTTGATGAAGCTTCACAGTTTCGTCGATTGATTTCCCCTCCTTACCTAGCACTCGACGCCTGACCTCAATATTGCTCACCTTATTATACCACTTCACACGGGAGATAGAACGCAGGCACCTATGATCAAAGACGGCTAATCTTTTCATGTCTCCCACTGTCAATGGCCAGGTCTCACAGCCATAAAGGAGGACGGAGCGGACTGTTGAGCAGTACACACGCCCTGTGGTCGATAGTCGATATCACGTCTACGCCAGAGACGGCGTAAACTGGCATATGCGAAACTAGCCCTCTGTATCCGTGCTGAGATTTCGTCAGCAATCAACCCGTTGGCGTTGGCTAATGGTACTTCCCAGGTAAGTGAAGCGGTCAACATGCTCTACCACTTCACTTCCTATTTCTAATCTAGGAGTCGGTGTAGTCCAATCCTGTAACATCATCTTGCATTTGGCGGGAGCGAATCGCATGCCAAACATTCGTAGATTGCAGCTCAAGGTGTTCAGAAGACTCTGCATTTTGTCGGCGTCGTCGCCTAGAAAGACCATATCGCCTGCATATTCTAAGTCAACGAGATTATTCCCTGTTAGCAAGTCAATTTTTGAGTCGCTGAAGTGAGTTAGGGTCCATTAGTACATCTGTGATGAAGTTGAATAGAAATGGGGATAATGGGCATCTTTGACGGACGCCACTAGTCGTCACCACTTCAGATGACAACTCGCCGTAATCCCCCACTTGGCTGCATGAGTACGAGTAGAGTGCCTTAAATCAGTGCAATATATTTCCTTGGCATTCCCTTAACAACCAAGCATCGCCAGAGAACCCCTCGGTCAACAGAATGGAATGCCGCCTTTAGGTCAAGAAATATAATGATTGTTGGACGCCGTTGGGAATGCCTATGTTCTAGAATCTGTTGGAGGGTGAAGATATGTTCAATAGACCCCCTTCCTGGCCTAAAGCCTGTCTGGTTTTCTCGTGTTTGTTCCTCCCATGCACCGCTTAGTCTACTCAATATTATTGAGTCTAGGACTTTAGATACTATATTAGTCAAGCTAAACCCT